TATGTGTATATATGTGTATATATATATGTGTATATATGTATGTGTGTATATATATGTGTGTATATGTATGTATATACATGTGTGTATATATGTGTATATGTAATATATGTATATGTTTACTATATAACTTTAAAACAAAATTTAATGACAAAAAAGAAGATCGACGTTTCGTGTCCATCATGGACACATTCTCAAGATCAAGTAAACAACAATATGACAAACCTAAGGAGGCAACATGGATTAAAAAATTACAAGATTAAAACCTACTGTGTTAATTGTTCCTAGCTACAGTAGTTGGAGCCATGATACTGATAAGCTCCATGAAAAAATAACAACAACAACAACAATAATAATAATAATAATAATAATAATAATAATAATAATAATAATAATAATAATAGTAAATAGCACAATCATCATCATCATTTTTATTATCCCATAGCACCTTTATATCTAAATTTGCGCGTCTACAACTAATTTTTTGCAATAAATTTTGAGTACTCACTGCGAGGTAGTGCCTACAACTTCAGGAAGAGATGGAGATGTTGTAACGACAGAATATCAATACAAGAGATTTATATATATTTACCACCTAAAAGCCACACCCCAGGCATGCGCACTTTGAATTCACTAAAAACATTCTATTATGATGTCATGTAATATCTTATTGAGCAACTAACCAGCAACAACAGGTGCGTATACCGAAATTGGAATTTCCAATCTGCATTGAAAGCTATAACAACATTCAATCGATGTGGAAATTTCCACAAGCTAATATTATAGTCTGTTGTCTATTGGTGGAATGATTATTTAAAGAAACTATTTACTTTAAAGCGCTTTAGTAGGTACATAATTTAGTAGAAAATAAATGTTAAAACTTAATAAATAGGCATACTATAAAACCTCGAATAGCCCTAGGCTATATTTGCGAAATTTATAGACTTTTCGAGATGGGCTTCTTTTTGAGACCACTTTTGCAAATTAAAGAGGGGGAGGGGAGGGGCTTCTTTTCAAAATTAATGCTGTAAATTTTCGGAATTAATATTATAAATCAATAAATAAGGCCACTGTAACATCAATCTGTACCATAAGAGTGTATTAACCGTCATTAAATCACCTAAACTACTGTATAAACCAAGCGTGTTACTGTTTTTAACTTACTTTGGGCGTATTCAGATCAAGAACACATTTTATAAGAACAATGAGGCTGAAGGCTTAAAAATTAAGAACAAAAAAGGAACATGTAGCAGTACTACCAACTGTAAATTTGTATATAGGATCTGTGTGTAAATAATACCTTGCATTTTTAACTAATATCCCAACTTCATGGGTTATACACCAAGCTTAGGAAGGTCATTTACCTTAAGGTCTTAATTCCTCCATGTATAAAAATTCGAGGGGGTTCGCTAGAAAACAGGGGGGTTCGCTAGAAAAGGGGGGCCGAACCATTAACCCCCCCCCCCCCCTGGCTACGGGCCTGGTGCATACTGCCGTACAATTAAATAATTTTTTGTTTAAAAGGTGTGTAAACTAACAACAAAATAAGAACATTTTGAGCCTGAATTCGGCCAAAAAATAAGAACACTGAGCCTGGGCAAAATTTTACTGGTTCTTATAAAAAAAAAAAAGTGTACACGGCATAAAATGTTTTCGTAACATTATGTTCTCGGCACATGTTCACATACCACACCGAACGAAAATGTTTTCGAAACACGATCGTTGAGATTATAAAATTACTATACAGTGTAGCCTATAAACTGTATCTCAAAAAGAAGCCTATGGGCCTTTTTTTTAGAGTAATTTTGCCTAATACAACAATATGAGACCATCAGACCTTGGAAGATAGAGCGTGCCCAATGGAATTCAGAAACAAGAGTAGGCCTATATGGAGCATTTAGAGCATATGCAATACTGCACCAGATAGGGCCTACTGCACATTTTATCATTCATGCAACGACAACCACGGGCTTTCTGTCCTATTCCTACGTTTAGCTTCTGGTCCTTCGGAAAAGGAATGAATAATGTTAAATATTTGATTACTGTACTGAATTATTGTGTGGCGGAATTAAGCTATTATTAAGCAACCTACCTGTTGAAGAGAGATGGAGCTCAGCACTGATCATTCGATTCGCGTTCGCGCTCATTCATCTGAAACGTTCCAAAATCAACCTCACGTGTCGCTATAAATTAGGCTATCCTGTTTCAATAACAGGCTAGAGGCGCCAACAACTCGTACATTACCTGGAGCCTGGCCATTTTTACAACCAAATTATGAATATACAACAGTGGTTAATATACAGGATACAGGTTTGTTTCTTTAGCACACTAGTTGTCTGTTGCAATCCTGTGTTAGGTAGGCCCTATTATATTATACAAAATTTGTTTTTCTTAAGATAAATTAATATATATTAAACAGACATTAAAAAAATATTCGTCTTGTCCTCAAGGGGTTTTTAGCAATTATTCATTCCATGGAGGAAAGAAACTTTCCTTAATAGTCCATCAACTCCAGTCCTCCAATAATCAGCGATAACTAGAGCACTGTGATAATTAATTGCAGAGTGTGATAACACAATGTAAATATAAAGATACTGTACAATAAAAAGTGTCAAGATATACAGAGCATATTGTACCCTGTGCTTTCATAACACATGTATAATTTATTTAGCCCACATCTTCGTTTTATTTTTATGTTTTTCACAATACCCGAAAACTCGTAAAAATATAATAGGGTCATAGCGGGGCCCATAGTCTTGTTATTCATATTGTAGAATATTACCGGTATACCGCGGGGGTATATGTATAGACCTACAGTAATGTGTTCGTGTGTGTCTTGCGCTTTTCAGGAATAGTATAGCATCTCATTCATCTACAGTAGTTATGGCGATAAAACATTTAACTATTTTCTATCATCATCGAATTTACTGTACTCTGTCTTATTAATATTTAAAAAACGAATTGTGATTTGGTCATTATTTTGGATCATGCATCAGTATCTACCCATGGGAAGCGCCAGCCTCTGAAATCTGGGTGGTGGGGTGGGGATGTGAGGGGCAGGGTAACATTTTAGGGGAATTTAGTGGGGGTGGCCCGAAGTTGGTCAAGGGCGGATGTTACGAGGGCCCACATCCTCCCCCTCCTGTCAGTCCCGCCGAAAAACGAAAAAAGAGGGAGAACAAAATAGTGAGAAGAGGAAAAGAGGGGAGAAAAAAGGAAGTGCACAATACCATAATGGAGAAATATTTACTTCTCTTTTAATGTGTTGGCAACTGCTCTCTATGTACCGTATTCTTGGGAAGTTTTAATCTATTTGGTGAATATATTAAAAGTACTGTATCTAGGTTCCTATATTTTTTTTCTTATTTTGTTCTTATTTCAAACACAGAAAATTATTATTGTACGGCAGTATACACTGTACTGGAATGTAGGTAAATGTAGACCCCAGAAAAAAAATAGCCCCTGAAAAAAAGGCCCCACAAACGGCAAAAATGACCCCAAACAACAGGTACTGTAGGTACACCTACTGTACTGTATTATAGAAGGTATTACGTAGTCACACATTCTACACGCAAGGTACAGATATGATTTTTTTAGTTTTTCTATTTTTTTTTTTTTAATAAACCTATATCATTTGACATTTTACCTCAGCCTCAATTTGTTATAATTCTGTTTTTAATTTTTAAGCAACTTCAGCCTCAGTGTTCTTATAAAATGTGTTCTTGAAAAAAAAAGTGTACAGTATTAGGTATATCATGAATATCTGCTATATGGGATTCTGTAAATTATAATACAGTCCTCAAGATGTGACCGGTATAATCTAGGAAACATGTCAGTGTATAGTTCCCATACTTCTAGATGGTACATACATTTCGTTTGCTTCGCGCTCTACCATTTTCTAAAGAAATGATATACGACAACAACAACAGCGACAACAATGGCGGCCGCCAGTTAACTGATTTGAAATTTGTATTCACTGTTGACACTAACGGGCTTCCGTACTATTGTATTATAATAATGGAATTAATGTTATTATTATTATATTATGTTATATTATTTTTATTTTATTTTTTAAATAAATACACATGATTTTGATGATATAATTTTCTCTGATTTTCAGCTTTAAAAACAGGCCTATATAAACATATTACCAGTAATGATACGATTAAGAATTTATTGATATTAGTATGTGTTATTGTGTGTCATCCATCATATTTTAAATTAATTACGGATGCCAACAAAGTAGGTCTATTTATCACTATACTCACTGCGTACGTCTCCGCTCCAACTCCGCTCCCTGACCGTCTGCTGATTGAGTATTGAGATTTCGATTTGCGCGACGACGCGACGCTAGAACGGATTCACTCATACGTGACCGTCCTACGTTCTCTGCTCAACGTAGATTCCAAATTGCGTCCCGTAATCCACGCGACTTCTTAGTGACGTCATTACATTTTACGTCTTACCATCGTTGTGCAATCGGACTTGGGACCCCTGCAAATGTGTATCTTTGTTGCAATAACAATAACAATAATGAACGAATCAACAGACGTTTACTATATAACTAATCTTTAGACTTAGTTGGTTATCCTAAGTGTGATTCATAACGTACCGTAATACTCTAAACTATCACTATAATACAGAGTTGTATGTATTGTAAAAATGTCAAGAAACTAATTCGTTGTCGGCAATCCTTAAGGGTTTCATTTCCTTAAACCAAGTCTACTCGGATACTGACTCTAAACCAGAGGCCCATTGACTCGCCCTCAATAATATGCACTGTACATTCCACCTCCACCCAAAAAAACAAAAGAAAAGATGAAGAGCAAAATTGATACTCGGCGTCTTGAAATGCCTTAACCAATGGGGAAAAGACGTTCATATGGGCATGACACGAAGAGGCCCTTTAACCAACATAAAATATTTAAAAAATATTATCAAAGTGTCACCCTTTGATAGTGCCATTTCTATGCATCTAGAGTTGCCACATCCTTATTGCATTTTATACTCAGCCCCTACCTTGATGTGGGTGAGGTGGGTGTTGGAACTCCTGGTATCTTTCTCCCTAGTGGCATAAAATTATATGAGCTACTTAAAATTGAAATTATTTAAGAAGTCAAATTAACACACACACAAATAATTTTAACTCTTACTGTACTATTTCAGGACATTTAGAATTGCCTTAGCACCATTAAATTTGTTAATCTCAGTCGAGACTCAACCATGTAATAGTATGAGAATGCTATTTCCAGGCTATGCTAGTTGAGCAGAAGAGGAGTGTGGGTATGTTCTGTGATGTTAACAGTAGCATCAAGAAAGTGACTGTGGGTAGGATAATATCCACTAGTGTTGATTTTTTAATGGGGATGAAAACTGTTGGCGTACTTCGAAATCTAAGAGCATCAACTCCATGGGACCAAATAAAAAAATTTATATTGTATAAATTATATGAAGTGAACCCGATACGTGTTTCAAATTATTGCTAATTTATTAAGGTCGCCATGGGAGGAATAAGTTGAGTCTACCATTTGGGGTTAAAGCATGAGAAAATGTTGAAAGGAAATGTGGCACAAGAGAAAGCCGCCATGGCATTTTCAGTGGAGGCGCAATGGGGATTTCAGGGGACTAAAAAGATTGCTGGTAATCATATTATATGTATTTATTTAAAATCGATTAAATAAGCCTTTGAAACTCATAAATTGTCATTTAAAACCACTTTTCGATGAATTCCTGTCACTGCGAACATCAATATCAAATACTACAAACATTGCTTTTCCATATAGCGTTATCTTATTACCAAATCCACCATGTTGCAGAGCTTAATGTACAAAATATAATCATATCAAAATAGTAAAGCTATATGAAGATAGAATTTCTTTTACGTAACCACATATAACATAACAAAACACAGCCCATATACTTCATAAGTGTATGACTCTATAACATTTCTTAATAAAAACTTGTACTTAAAATGTCAAGTTCTAAAGACACTATTAAACTTTCAAATGGACATTGATCAAGGATATGGGTAAATGTAGGCTGTGATGAGTGTCTACCCTCACAGTAACTTGAAAATGAGGGCAAGGCAAAAAACCCAAATCTAACTTTTGCTAAAATAAAGTATAAACAAAGAAACACAAAAAAAACTAACAAACCAAATTCACAAGGTGGGCATATGAAACTATACTTTTACAGCCAATTGAAGACAAGTCAATAACTCTTACACCTGCCCAAAAGGAAAAAAAAATTAAAAAGGCAATAATAATAATAATAATAATAATAATAATAATAATAATAATAATAATAATAATAATAGTAGCATAGTGTTTGCCCTGAAGAGTCATAGTAGGTTTTGACACTTGCTTTGTAAATCATAAAGAATTTTTCTCTTACTGATTTTCAATGTGCATATTTGCAATAGCAAACATATTTTTGTGCAAGTTTAAATTAATTTTTATTTAATAGCTAAACAGGAATACTAGCCATTCTTATAGTTTTCACAGCAAGCATTCTTAAGTAGGAACCCATACAAAGAGAAGATTACTTCAAATCTAAGCCCCCCCCCCCCTATGATGGTCAGAAAGCATCAGGAAGCGAGATCACAAAGGCTGCTGCAACTGCATCAGGTGTCGGGATCAGCGAGGAAGCAGACACACATGCGATCTTTGCCCATCAACAATATGGCAGCGCCATCGGGACTCCACTGCAAGCTATTCACTTGGAATGAAGCTGAAAGAAAAAACAAACACAAAATAAAGCCCTGTTAGACTACCAAATTTTATATGATAAAAAAAAATACAAAAAAACTGTTGTATGCTCATATATAGTCATGATGTGTGTATGGTCATGTATGATGTCATCATTACCATATTTAGGCATGTCACATGTCAAATAAAATTTTATAGTCTTGGAAGGTTTTAAAGCTACCCACACTACCACATTTCATGTGACAATCAGTGTGATGTGCCATAGAACATGTTGATGTCATACTACATCCACCTACATTATCACCTACCACATCAAAAATGATATTTTTTCTTGAATGATTATTATTATCTTAGTTTTTGTGTCATACTGTTAATTAGTGTAATTAAATATTTAAGAATTAAGAGACGCTTACTATATAATTTCAAAACAAAATTTAATGACA